ACATACCTCCAAGTTCCAAATGCATTGCAAAAACTTATCTACATTATTTGTGTCTGCAAAATTTGGGCTGGATTTTTCTTTAGGAGAGGCTCTTTGATAATGGATGTGGTGATTCTTTTTCTGGAAACTAAACATGCAGCTGAGGTTAAGGGATTGGGAATGAGAGTGTGCATGAGGAAAGGCTACTCAGGGGAAGATGTAGTATATCTTAATCTATAGCCAAGACACAAAACATAGCAATATGTAGTTGCCAAATTGTTGAGCTCTATGTTTAGGGGACCTGAGGGACAGGGATCTTGAACTCTTCCAGAAATTTAAGAAAACTTGCTATTTATTGTTCTGTATATAAAAAAACCCATTCTCTATCATGTCTGTTTACTCTAAGACTACTTTTTTTTTAATTGTTTCCTTCATGCATATTCAGTCTTTTTGCTGACTGATCCAGATTTTATGGGCAATGCTTAGAGGGATATTTCAGGTGAACTGGGTACAAAAAATTTGCATGGGAGACTTTATTAACAGAAAATGCTATTTCATTGAAAGCAAAAACTTCCCCTAGAAGGTGTTAATTTTTTGTAAAAAATTGTGACAAAAATGTCTTTAAGACAAGATCAAAACTGGCATTTTTAAAGAAATCTGCTTTCTTCTTTTTGGAATAAAGTCTCATTATAAAATCATATTTTCACTTCTGTAGTGAGACATGGTTTCTAAAGACAATACTAGGGGAAAAAAAACCCAGTATTTATTAACATTCCAACACAAAACAAATAAAATATGATAATTCCTTATGGAATGGATCGTTTGATTGCAGGAATCATGTCTTCATCTGAATGTTTCTGTTGTCTTCCGTTGGTCCTGGGTACAGGCAAGGAAGTTGTTGTAGTGATGAAGTTCATATCACCAGTTGTTTCTGAAGCAGAACCACTTGAGTAGGTTATGCCACAAAGAGCATGAACCTCATGTTATGCAAGCGGCTTTGTACTACATAGGCGGTTTGTGCTCAGAGCATAATGCTTGTATTGGCTGCTAGACTGCACTTAATATTATTGCAAAGCAAATGATCTAGTGGTAGGGCAAAATGTCTAGTCCCAGCTGGAGATGTAAAAGTGTGTTCACGTGTAAAAATGCAGTTTGATCAAAGCTGGGGAAGTCCTCAAAAACTGTCTCAAAGAGATGTAGGAAGGGAAGAGGTTTGTGTCAAGCTTTTCTTCAAACTTGTTTACTCACGCTTACCTGGGATGTATTGTTAGTGCCTCTGGCCAAGAGATTATCTTGCTTGTGTTTTAAATTGCCTGAAAATTGAAGAAACACATTATTATTTCAGTCCTGATTAAAATACTGAGCTAATTAATCTTCTAAGTTGTATTATGCCTGTGCTTCCTATAAAGAAAATTAAGGTAAAAACATTGACATGAATTTCCCAAATGCCTGGAACATTCACCTCCGAGGTAGGATCTGAATGGGTTGGAAAGAGTCTTCCTCTTTAGAAAGACATTAAACTATAACTTCACTAACTTGTAACACTAGAGTTAGTAAACATGTTGGTATTCTTCTATTTTAAGAAATTGTAGCATGCTACTCATAAAATGTAACTTTACACCTCTACTGCCCTACATTTTGTGGGGACTACTGTGTCTCTTATGTCAGGCCATGCATGCACCTAGTTTTTGGCAAGCATGTCTATGTGAACTTCAGGTAATACAGAGCATCAAGCGCAGGCTGTGGACAAAGCCTGTCAGTGATGTGGGATCCTGGGTTATTGGGCAAAGCAGTACTCCAAACCTTGCTGGTATGAATCTGTAAAAAACCTGACATTGAGTCTTCTCCTTTCTGTGGTGACCAGCAGTGCCATATATGCAGAGGGAAAGCTATGAAGATCTTTCTGTAGGAGTTTATCATACAGAACACTGTAACAGTCATAAGCAATCTTTATGATTACTCACCTTGGTCCAGTGTTCAGTAACACTGGATCACTGAAGGCACCTACATCTTGCTGTAGTAATTTTCTTAGTGTGCTATTGTCACACATAGCAACGCTTGTTTACAAGGTAAATTCTGCCTTTCTGAGCTTTCATTAACGTCACTTTCTCTGTTTTTTTTTTAGTTTGGCTTTCTCAGTTCTCATGTTTTCCCCCTGTCATCATTTCTGCCCTTGATATTTCCCTCTTTACAGTAAGAATTTCTCTACATGTACTCTTTAAGAACTATTCCCAGTGGGCTTCTACACATCTCCATTCCTCTGCTAGTGGATTAGATGAAAAATAGTTAAAGTTGACATTCCCAAATGTTGTCCAATGGTTTTTTTTGTTAAGCTGAGTCACAAAAATATGTACCATTGCTTCAGGTTTTCTGTTGCTGATTCTGGAGTACAACTCTGCACATGTTAAATGGAAAGAGAAGCTAATTTTTGCAGCCATAAACATTAGACAATTTCTTTCAACCAAAAGCTCAAATTTCATTATACTTATCACATGGTCCAAGATTAAAGGACATGTCTGACACTATTGTGAAAACACAGAACAGCTGTGCTCCTGAACATACTTATTTTCTGTGCCACTGTAGCCAGAACTGTGGTAGATTTTAACTCTGTTCCAGAGGCTCTGAGTCCCAGCCAAGGTCCTGCAGAGCTGGCTGAATTTTTCCTTTTAAAGCATGTTCTCGTCCCCAGATGACTTTGTGCAGCACTGTCTGGCAGCGGCAGGTGGGTGAGTGCCTAGTCATGCTCCAGGGAAGAATCACAGAAAGAACTATTTCATCCTTCGTGGCACGGTGTCATAGAAAAGCATGGGATAGCAATACTGTTGCTCTAGGTAATCTGAACTTGTGAGGCTCTCCTCCCTAGTACTGACATAATACACTCAAAGAGCTGGGTCCTCAGGAAGAGGCGGTATTTCTCAATCCAACTTGTATTTGCATCTGTGAGTTAGAGGACATTTTGTCAGCTTCAATTTTTTTGCTATTGCCAGGCAAATGCTCACCTTGGCATTTCTGTGTGATTCTGTACAATATTCTTAGTAAAGTTTTTGTTAGTAGGAGTGACTTCTTCCCTTCATGAACTTTTACTTCTGTAAACGATTTACATGAGGAAAACTACCAACCTATTTCCAGCATTTAAAAAAATCTTAAATAATAAAATAAAAAATATCTTAAAAAATAGATAAAAATCTTTTAAAATCTTTAAAAGTATCTTTATTGGCCTTTCCTATTAAGAGGGGATAAGATTGGACCATTCGATACTACATTATCATTATTCTGACCTATTAAATTTATTTTTACACTGTATTTGTAATAATTCCATGGGAAGATAGCCATTTCCATACCAATGGCAATCATTAAATACTTGATGTTTCTATGTTAGTGAGCTAAGGAAAGCAGAGCTGCTTGCCCTCTGCTTTTCTGTTGCCCATATCCTCAGCTGCTGCATTCAAAGAGTGTAATCACCAAGAGTGATTTGGTACACGCTTACATTGAGGTAAATGTAGATATTACTCCAAAAATGGCAGTTACTCTATGACAAAACTAGTGTGAGATTGGAGTGAGCCCTAATCTTATACCTTTGGTTTACTAGTAGGTAATGTGTTCCTTCAGTGATTCTCAGTGAAGTGCTTCACAGAGAAACTGAAAGTTGGCAAATAATGCTGTCTTTGAAAATTTGTTTCCAGCTGATTTTATACCTGAAGCAGAACTGTGGATGATCTGCTGTAGCTGGTTAATTAAATCCTGTGCTGTTATCCCTCAATTAGATGCATTAAATTGCAAACCTTGTTAACAGATTTTTTTCCAAATATGGAGAGATCCCATATATCATTCTGAATAATTTATATTTGGGCTCTTAAAGAAGATACGCGGCTTGTCTATCTGTATGTACGAGAGGAAAAAAAGAAACAGATTTTGGATCTCACCTTCTGTTGGTCTGTCTGGTCACTGTCTCTTCAGTGAGTGGGGTAGAACTTTCCTTAGTTTTGGTTGATTTTTCTTTTTTCCTTAGGCTTTCTTGGACTCTTACCAGCAGGTTTTTACAGTCTGTTGCCTGCGTCTCAGATTAAAAGAACACTGGCGTATTTTAACAGTTTCCTAGGATCCAAATAGTCTTTAATCAATAGAGTTGATGTTTTGGAGTGCAACCAAAACATGGGAGACATCGGAAGCAGAGAACGGGCATGAATCCTTTCAGCTTTTAGCTGGTTGTGGCAAGGGGCAAACAAGTAAAACAGGCGCCACTGCAAACAGGTAGCAACTTATTGGTATGCAAAGGGATTTCTTCATTTGCATTATGTTCCCACAGAGCTGGAGGTTGTTAGCATTAGCTGGGAGGAGCCTTCTGCTGTAGAAGGGTCTGAATCAGCTCCACCCCTTGCAAGAGGAGAAGGTGTTGGTCAGCACCTTCCCATAAACAAAACTCTGGTGGCTGCTGAAATTGTTCTTGGTTTAGATTTGTATTGATCAACTGTTGAGGCAGCCAGGTATGTTGTGTTTGGGACATTCAGGTTGATGCTGAAGCTGTAAGGTCCATGAGTGAGCATTTATTTAAAAAAATCAAGTGTGCAAATGACATGAGTTTTGCTGAGCTGAACAGCTAGTTGTTGTTCTTTTTCTTTTGGTGCAGTTTGCCTTTGGAGGGCTGAGGTGTAGGTTTGGGAAGAAACACTGAAAGTATAGCAGAATGAGACTAGCTGAAGTTCTAAAGGGAAGTCAGATATTTGCAGAAATATTGTTCCAGATAATCTAGGCAGATAAATCGTTTATTAGCTAATTTTAAACAATGATAGATTGATACCTGAATCAATTACTGCCAAAGAATTATAACCAACAGTCACTGAGTCAGCTGTTCTCTTTTTTAGTAATACAGTAACTTGTGGACAAATTAAAATGTATTTGTTTAATCCAATATTGGCTTTTTACTGTTGCTTTTTTTTTCATGTGTGTTGGCTTTCCATGGCCTTCCCCCTCCCGCCCATCATAGTCCTTGCTGAATGCCTTCTGTCTCTTCCTACTCCTAGGTGGTACATGCCAGAGCCCTGCTCTTCCAGCCCTAGTGCGTCCTCCTGCTCCACCTTTGCAGCCGTCGCTGGATATTAAACCGTTTCTTCCGTTTCCTCTGGACACTGCCGCAGCAGTCAACCTCTTCCCCAACTTCAATGCCGTAAGTACACTCCTAATGAATACTGTCCACCTTGGTGAGCCACAGTTTCCATGGAAGACTCAAGAGGGCACAAAGTAGAATTTTATGTACTCAGTTAAACTTGGATCATCCTCTCTGTTACTGAGGGCCAAATAGCTCTTTCAGACACAGTGCTAGGCTATAAATTAGAGCCTAGCTGAGTGTTAGCCAGAAGAAATGTAGAAGGAAAAAATTATATGATCCCAAGTGACATGAAATAAAGTTTCAGGCCATATTCAGTCCCAGGGCTTGTGAGTTTCCCACTCTAATTTAAGATGTGCAGTTTCACGAGCCTACAGTTTGCTGGAAGTGTGAAACTCTTAGTGATGGCATTCTATAGCCCCTCTCTAGCAAGCTTCCTGGAGATTCTTAAAATTTACGAATTGGACACTCTACAAAAAATAAAACTGTTGGGGCAATTAAAGTATGAATGAGAACAGTATTAGGTGGTATATGAGCTAGTCATTGGCTAACAATCCAGTGTATTTTTTTCAGGTTAGGATATTTTATTTCTCGTGCCTTAGGTTAAAAAAAGATTAGATTTCTCTTTCATATTTTTTTTTTTTGTTTACTTAGTCATACTCTCTATGATTGTAGAAATCTTATTCCTTCCTAGGTATTTTAATTATTTTCCTGACCTATGTCATGACTATTTCAATTTTCCTGTTTATGGATGAGATATAAATGCTCTTAAAAAAAAAAAAAAGTCTGAATTGGTTTCTGTTAATTTTGACTTCACAGCATTGTGCCTCTTTTTAATTTGAATGTACTCTGGGAAGTTCTTTTTCTTATTTACATATACTAGATATAGAAAAGTAAAAAGAATGTGTGTGCTTACATACTTCGAGACACACAGAGGGGGGGGAAAATTGCCATGCCAAAACAATTCTAATTAACTTGCAAAAATCCTAATTACAATAATTAAGTGTAGTAAAAACCATGCCCATTCTAGAAGCAATTTGTAGTAATCAATAGCAAATTTCCATAATTAAATGTTCATTTATTTACCTTTTGTGGATGTTCACTTTGCTTTAAAGTAATTAAAATTAAGTAATTGTCAAAAATATTTATTTATGCAGTCCTAAATTCAAACAATTCACAGGATGAATAGAGATCAGAGAAGCTATAAGCTACAAGTCTTAAAATGCTCAGGAGCAATATGTCAAAGAATTGTAATTACAAATCAACATTTTATTACAGAAAAAAGTTTTTCATATTTTAAAATTATATAGACATGCAACAAAATTTTAAGAAGTGCTGGTTTTAATGCAGTGCTGGTAACTCATGATAAAATTAATAAATCATTAGACTTGCTGAGTATGCTTAGGATTTGTTCTTACCAGTTTTACTTTGTGGTCTCTCTTTTTATTTAATGCAATACACTAGCTGAATTTTTAGACACTGTTTATTAGAATTTCTGGTTTTTAAGAGTTAATATTCTTCATATTGTTTTTCTAATTGTTTAACTCTGCATAATTCAGATGTAATTTTAATGAATAATCATTAATCTTGTGTTGTTCCATGAATTTTCATTTTCCTTTTTTTCTTACAAAGTCTGATTTTATACTAAATTATCTTTGGGGAGTGGGGGGAAGTTGTTCTCATATTAATTTGGAAATAAGAAAATAACAGAATCCTGTCATAGGTCTGTTATTCCTGAACATCATCTTAGTAGTATATTTTTTGGTATAAGCACTACAGTTGGATTTGACAGACTTCCTGTCTCTTCAGTTTTTCAGTGAGCTGAGCCTAGGTTCCAAAAGTGAGACTAGCAGCCCTTTTTATCATCATTCTGAAGTTCATTCCTGTGCAAAGTACAGTTTCCTTGGCTGAATATGTCAGTTCTGAGTATGAGGCTGCTGTCAACTGCCTTGCTGCTTGTAGTCTTTGCTTTGCAATGAGACCTTTGCCTCGCAATGTGACCTTTGCCTCTTCATCATGTGTGCTGACATGGAGCATCATCCTCAGTGTTCCCATTTTCATTCTGAACAGTACATTATTGAATGCTGCTGTCTTTAGCTCATATGCCAGGGCTGGTTAATGGCATCCTCCAAATACGTAGGCTAGCTGAGTAGGTCTGCATATTTCAAGAGATTCTTTTTAAGCTGATGAATCTTTTGAGTATACATCCACTGCTACTGAGCCTTGTCAGCCTAAGTAGAAGGTAACCCACAAGTCATATTCGACTTTAGACATGTCTGGTAAGGGCTTTAAGTATGAGAACATGAGACAGAAAAGAAGTGTTTAACCAAAAAGGGATCTTCATATATATACATGCTCAAGAAAGATTGTAGCTGTCCATAACGCTTTATATTCATTGGCTTCATTGACAGTCCTACACAGTGTTAACAGAGAAGCCTTTACGTTCTATGGCTAAACCAAGGTCAAGCAGGGTGGCTAGTAAAAGACGCAGAACTCCAAACACCTGAACTAGACTTTCTCTCTTGTGTTGTCAATAAATTAGCTTTACCCTTTATTTGAGACATCAAGGTCATAGATTGTGTCTAAGGAAATGGATTTCTTAAGACCTCTTTGACCCTAGCACAATCCCACAGAAACTAGAATTTGGCTGCATGTCCAGGCTACTTCCCAAGAGGCTAAAAGGAATTGCAGAGTTTTGACCATCTACTGGTCACTTTTAAACAGCCTTCACTTGAGAAGAACAAGATCAAGGAAAAACAAGTAAAAAATCATACGTGTCAGACAAAAGAAGTAGTCTCTGGTTATGGCAATCCTAACACAACTTGGGAGTTTGGTTGTGATAGGCATCTGAGCTAATCAGCCTAAGTTTCTAAGCAAAATATGATGGAGAAAAATGGGCAATTTCATCAATTTTTTAAGTGGAGAAAAATACATAAAGGTAGGGAACTGTGAAAGCATCTTTTATGTCTACTTTGGCATGAACCCTGAAAGTTCCCAATCATGTCAGCTGATTATAAGGAGGAACTGGCTCAGCTGCATCTACATTTGGTTGGATGAATCCCACATTATAGGACAAGTCATCAGCAAATATCAGCTAATATATTAAATTTCAGTCAGAAATGAAATGACAGAGGTGCTGACATTGTATTGTATGTTTACAGAGGAAGGCTCCCATTTATCAAGCAGTTATGCTTCTAATTTTATCTAAAGACAGACTCAAGGGAATGTGAGGATAAAGATGAACTGGATAGAAATAGTAGGAGAGGTGAAAGCCAAAGTACCAATAAGGAATCTCAGACGCATACTCAAGAACTAACAAAACTAAATAATACTGATCTTACGTATCACAAATAATAATAGTAAGGTGTTGTATTTTATAATGTTTTTTACAAATATAAGATTACTTTTTTTGTTACTGATAATTTTGGTCTAAAGCTACCTCTGTTTTTGCTGCCCACCTCTGAGGAAAACATTTGTCACGGGTTGCTACAAAGGCAAAAGCTTTCATCGGAGAACAGAATAAAAAACATAGGGTGTGCAAACCTGTATAAGTAAATATCTCTGAACACTGGGGAGAAGGAAAAGTAAAAAGTAACCAACCTGAGAAATGCAAGGAAGATAACATGCGAACTATTGAACCATTCAGTTTCAGAAGGAACATTTTCTATTTATACAAGAAAGCGTAAAGCAAACATACCAATTAGCAATCTGGTTAGCTGAACATTTGTAGGTGCTATGCTCTTAATTATGAAGAAAATGAGTACCCTGGAGTCATATGTAAAAAGAATCACAAGTTCATTGCAAGTTCATCTGACATAAAATGACGAATCAATTGCATGGGATTTAAATGGCTAAATTTTATGAATGAAAGAAAACAGGACTATAAATAATGTTTATGTAGTTTTTTAAAATATGATTTGAAGATTGTCAGAGGAATAGAAAAATAATTGTCTATTCTGAAAAATGCTTGAGTTCATTTAGCAAACTTTTTGTACACTTCTGTGTTTTCATCTGCAGAATGAGAAGCTTTAAGTCTGTGTGCGTCTAAGAGCTAGTTAGAGACACAAGGCTTTAGTAGTTGTATTGAATGCACACTGGTCCATGAGGGCATGTGAAAGTGAAAAGAAAAAAACTCAGATCTTTTTCATATCTTTTAGTATCCAAAGTCCACCATCCTCAAAGCACAGATGCATCAGAAACCAGGTTTTCTTATTTCTGAAACTCTCAGAATTATATACTTCAGTCTTTTGAGAGACAGAATTTATAAGTTTACAAGTCCAGAACATTTGCCATTTCTAGATGGAAAATCGGACAATGCATTGCACTCTTGTTTGTTTATTCTTTGAAGGATATGCTAACCATTTGCCTGAAAATTTTCTAAAAAATATTATATCATACTTTGCCGACTGTAATATGAGCATAATCTGTAGTGTAACAGGTCCACAATATAGGAGGGCTGAGTAAATGCTTGTAAGGGGAAATAGGAATGTTGCTTTGAAAAACTCCCTGCTAACTCCAAATTAAAGCCTGATTTCCCATTGTTGCCAGTGGAAAGTTTCCTGAAGAAGAATCCTATGGAAAGAAATGTGATTACAATTTTGCATAGAAACTTATGACTTGGAAGAACAGTAGCAGTGTCAGAACTCTACTAGGATGGAAAATGAACTGTTATTTTGCAGACAATTTTCTCATGATATACCTGTAGTGATCCTTGTTCACTCTCCTGATTTTTTCCTGTTTGCTTGTTTTATGCCAATAGCCCCAGGTGCAACATTTTGGGCTTCACATTTCACATTTTCCTGGTAGAGATTTGCCATATAGGAAAGGAGAAGGAGGTGACAGTGGCCATTGCCTATATATTGGGGTTCCAGCTACAACTTGTGTTAGGGTGCAAATGTAGTGCTCCTTGCTTCCTGAAAAGCAGCCTGTGCATCATCCTAGCAGCTTCCGTGGCAGCACAAAGGTTGCACTCTGTTTATAGGGGTGGAGCTTGTGTTTGCAGGTATCGGCAGACAGCAATTATGGCTGGCGTGTTTCGCTGGGAGCTGCTTTTCTCCCTG